CTTATTCAATTTTATTCAATTTTAGAGTAATGGAGGTTATAAAACGAAAATGTTAGAAATTTCGGAACGAAGTTTTGATGCTCACGAAAATGAACCAACTCTAAATAGCTTTTATTAGTAAATAGGTAATTACTTAGATATAAAACCTAACTCCTGTAAACATTGCACGAGAAACGGGGAGGCGTCGTTTTCAATTCCTTCGACGCAGTGGCTGCAGCCGTCCGCGCGTGCACATCTCGTCGTCCCGTGTTTGCTCTCTGCAGAAGCCACGCGTCACAGTTGGTGGCGCAAGAAGGAAAACCACCAGTGCCCGTTTCGTGCCCCAAGATCGAAACAAATGCGCAGCAGTGTACCGGAGCAAATGTGCGCAGATTCAGTACGAGCACATTCGCACGTTGAACTTCGAGTTGGTTATTATTTTTCAGAAGCATGGGTAGGAGACTGAAAAAAAAAAAACAATATTGTGAGCCTTTTCGCGACAGAGAGAGAGAAGTGAACGTTTATTTTGAAACAATGTCCCGAGCAATGCCCGGTGTCACCCTGAGGTGGGAGGGCTCCTTAGTCCAGGAACCCTCTGGCTTCTCTACTGCCCTCTTGGCCCTGGCGACGACTTGTTGTTGGCGAGAAAGAAAAAAAAAGTGGTGTGTAAGCTAGCAATAATAACCTATATGCCAGTGTCACGTGGTCAGTTTCGATCGCGATTGAGTCCAGGTGATTGGGATCGAATTTCCCGAATCTGATTGGCCCATTTCTGCTTTGCACATTGCTCCAGCACTCAAGCAAATCGACTGGGATTGGAGGTGTGCCTTGTGTGACGCCCGTACTAATATCGATTCTCTCGCGGGCATCGTTTTCACTCTTTTGCTCCTTATCTTCCAAGTTCACCGAATGGGAATACAACTGAATTGTTTCAACTAGCCATCCTTTCAAGTCATATGACCTGGAGACTTGTCGAGGATTTTAGTAATGAGGGAAAGGAAATAGGAGGGGGGAGGTAGAGAAATGTTTTTATCACTCTTTTAGTCTTCAGGCTAACATTTGGAGCAATAGTATTCACTCCAGATATGATAACTAGAGAGACGGGCATTATCACGAGGTGTGATCCGCCAGCCAGTAAAGACATTGACACGTATAACCTCCATCTCTTGCAGCAAATTTTATTTAGTACGAGTAAAAATTATTAGACGCAATATTATTGAGAACTAACAGCCAATAAGTATAACAAAGAAAACTAGCCCTTAAAATTTACACTTTTTTCGAATAAAAGCTGTTGTACAGGGAAACCTCGGTGATTTTTTTTTAATCCCAGCCGCGACGCATTGGCCTGCAATGTAATGAACTACGGATGTTGCGGACCGATTTTCACCCAGCGACATTTGATACGACCCTACAATACCACGCATATATACGACGAGGTGTTGCCCGCGCTGTCGTGGAAGACATGACAAGCACGAGCGGCCATGCTAGGGAGCCTACATGAACGGCCGTTCATGTAGGCTCCCTAGGCCATGCCCACAACGTACGCCGCCACGCGTTGCAGCCTCCGAAATTGTGCGCACAGATCTTGAAGGCCAGCGTGCTGCTTAGAAGTGTGGCAGCTTGGGCTGGTCGGTATGACATGACGATGTTTATAGCGCGAGAACAGAACGACGGCAAAGAGTCTAGAAGGACACGAAGGACATGAGCGTGTCCTTCGTGTCCTTCTTGTCTCTCTGTCGTCGTTCTGTTCGCGCGCTATAACTATCGTCCAGCATGCTGGTGTCGTAGTTACAGATGGCGCTGTTGTCATGCTTTTATATTTTTACACGTTTTTATGCGTGCTGCTTATGTTTTTCCGTGTTTCCACGTTATTCGATGTCCTCGCGCATCAGACATCCTATGAAAGGGGGACGAGGCCTGCACGAGAAAGCTTGGCGAAGTCTTGGCGAAGGAACTAGGCCTCACAGCACCAACATGGACGATTCTCGGTGTCGCACACAGGCACAGCTGCTTTATTGTGCACGCACGGCCGAAGCCTATACAGGGACCATATAGAGTTTCTCTACCGAAGCACATCCCCAGCGCCACCGCAATAACAAAATAACAAAAATGGAAACGGTTCTGAAGTTCTCGGGTGTTTTTTTTTTTTTTTTTTAAGCGCGTGCTACGCACTTCTTAAGCAGCACTCAGGTGTCATGCTAAAAAAGAGTACAGAAATGAGCAAGGCGCTGCTGGTTGTCATATTTACAAGTGCAAGTATGGTCACTGGTGTCTAAAAACTTTATGACAGTCATTAAGATGTGTTGGTTACGTTGCTGAGGCTCTGAGAAACGATGAATGAAAACATACGGAAGCTTTTTTTTTGTTGCATGCTAATTTTTTATATTTTCTAGTGATGTGAATTTCTCATGATGCGAATATTTTTGATGACTTCGTGAGAGTCGTATCATTGAGGTTAATGTCTGGGTTCTTACTTCCCAAAACCATGATATGATTATAAGGGCCGTTGTGAAGGTATCCGAAAATTTGACCACCCGGTGTTCTTTAGCTGATATCGCACAGTACACCAAACTCTACTATTTCACCTCCAGGCTCCATCGATATGCGACCACGGCTGCCTAGGAATCAAAATTGTGTTATTTGTGGCGAAGTGAGGAAGCAGGGATGTACGAAGCTGGAAGCATAAAGTATATCGTTCAAAGCGTTTTCTTTATATATATATATATATATATATATATATATATATATATATATATATATATATATATATATATATATATATATATAAGATAGAGAAGGCAAGCGACGGAAAAAAATTGGCAGTTCCCACTTACAGTGGGAATCGGGCTTCACGAATGAGGAAGTTTAATAGGTAACTTCAAAATCAGCACAACGTTACGAGAAGAAGGTAAGTTGTGCTGTACATGACTTCCATGTCATTATTCATCATGTTTGATCGTTTCATTTACCTTCGTCATCTATTAACGTCACTTGATACGAACTTTAGTATATATGAAGCTAGCAAAACGGCCGCGAGCGTGCTATGAGCGTAGCATCTAATCATGCTTTACATGACATCTATATCATGATTATTATGTTTGGACATGTCATTTACATTCGTCGTCCATTCCCGTCTCGTAATACCAAATTTAGTATATGTGGAACAAGTGAAACAGCTGCGAGAGTGCTATGAGCATAGCATGCAGTCATATTTCACAATAAACGCATATGATTATCAAGATTGGGCGTCTCATTTATCTTCGTCTTCTATTCACTTCCAGTAATACCAAATTTGGTACACGTGAAGCTAACCAAACGGCGGCGAGCTCGTCTTGAAGGGCCCAATATAATCCGACGCAACGTTGACGAACGCGGCGGTGCAGCGTCGCCACGCTAGCGAAACGCAAGCCCACAATAGCGTGACGCAAGGCGCGACCAGCTTCCGTCGGCACGACCCGGGGGCAGCCAGCGCGAAATGCTACATGCTGCGTAATGCTACATGCTGCGTTTCACGCAACGACGTTATTTAGACAGCACAGCGTCTACCTCTCTTTGGGACGGGGGAAGGGGGGGGGGGGGGGATACTGTGCGCAAACGCGCATGCGTCAAAGCAATGCAGCGCGGGCCTGCGAGTACATGGCAGGCAGATTCACAATGGAGGTCATCGGGCAGATCCACTGATCTCCACTAGGGGAATATACTCGGGGATACGTCGAAGTGTATTGGCGCCTTGAGTGTGGCGTGTATTAATGTTCTTACATGACACGCATCTCATGATTATCATGTTTGCACCAATCAAATACCTTCGTCATCCATTCACGTGACGTAATACCAAATTTCGGCATTTGTGGAGGTAGCCAAGTAGCCGCGAGTGCATCATGAGTGTGGCATGTAGTCATGTTGTTACATGACACGCATGCCATGATTTTCATGTTAGGGTATGTCACTTGTGTTCGCCATGCAGTCATGTAATACCATACCAGTTTCGCAACATGTCATGTGAAGGAAACCACCGCAAGAGCAGCAAGATCATGAAATGTAAATCACGACATTCGTGACACACGTCAAGATTATCATGTTATAACTAGTCAGTTATGTTCGTCATACAGTCATGTTATCTCATACCAAGTTTGGTATCGATACCATTATCTAAACGGCCAGTAAAGCTAAAAGTCATAGGCGGCTAGATAGATAGATAGATAGATAGATAGATAGATAGATAGATAGATAGATAGATAGATAGATAGATAGATAGATAGATAGATAGATAGATAGATAGATAGATAGATAGATAGATAGATAGACAGATAGATAGATAGATAGATAGATAGATACGCTCAAAGTCGCCGAAGTTCGCCAAGAAATGCTTCGCATTTATTAGGAGATTGGAAAATTGGGATCCAGTCGAAGCTGGGCACCACGATGCGAGAGCTTACTAGCGTCAGGACACCGCGGAGGGCAAGCCAGTCTGCGGGAGCTACGCTGTCGTCGGAGATCACGAGGGCACGACTACAGCACGACCGTCCAGCTTGAAATCTCCGAGCGAATTTGTTTGTTTTCAAACATGCCGCGTTTTCAACGTTTGCCGAGCGCTTCAGTCTCGGAGGCCGGGTTTTTGAAGCGAGATCTACTTCACCCACGGCTTCGTCTCCTTTTATCGGCACGACATAACGACGAGGCTCAAAAAAAAAAAAGAGCCAAGTTTGCTTTTATAGCAGTTAAAACCCACAGAAAGCTTCTGTGGTCAAAAGCATAACTTGTTTAAAAGTGCAAACCAGCGACTGCTTCTGGCAGCTGCACCTGGCAAATACATAGACTTCGAGATTTAAAAGCGTACGTTCCGGCACCTTCATTGTCTTGGTCGTGAGGAATAAAGTTTTTGATTATGTTATAACATTTTTACTTTGTACAAACCAGTACAAGTTTTTTTTTTTTTCCAGCGAGGACCTTTTTGACAACAAAACACAAACTGGCTTCGATGAAAAGCCAAGACTATCCGGCCTCAAAAGCCGCCAAAGCAGCCGACGCTTTTCTAATCGTGCCGACGCGCACCAAGCTGCTTGTGCTGTAAATTAAAGTTGTTCCATTTACAGCAAGGTAAAACGTTAGGAAGTATCGTGTGCATCTTGTTGCTAAACAACTATGGATGGAATATTTGGCAGCGATGATTCGAGAGAAGCATCAAGCGCAGGTAAGTGGACAGCTTGTCATGAGACGAGTCTGCTGTACGGTAGCTGCGCTCCATTCTGTAAACACGAGAGCACCGTGACTTCCTTTCTTGAGGGGATCGCTTGCACTGAGGCCTGAGTTCCTGACATATAGAGTTATGCGTTTGGAGATTCATGGCTGAACACTTGACTCTCGGTATCATTCGGCATCACTTTCGTGATTGTTTCTTAACGTCTTCATGGGTAGCTTTGTGTTCATTTGTAAAGAGAAATAAAACTGCACCGCAGGGGGACATGCTGTAACTGTCTGTGCATTTTTTTTTTTGTTTCGCAGGCTCCAGAAGCGCCTCACCAGCCTCCAGCGAGGGATCGCGGTCTCCTGCGCAACATTCCGACGACGGGGAACAGAGCGAGCATTCCGATGCTGAGGAGCGCTCGGAGAAAAGCTACCACTCGTCACCGCCGAGGAGCCCGGCGTCCGGTGACGAGTCGGGCTACGAGGACAAGGGTGAGGAAGCCTCGGGGGACGAGCGTCGGGATTCGGGCGATGAAGGCTCGGACGAATCCCGACACGTGGACGACCAGTCCGGTGACGAAGAGACGTCGGCTAGGACACCCGCGCGATCGGAACGTCAGAGCGATGCCTCCGACAACGAGGGCTCCGGCAGCGAGGTGCATCGCTCCGACGAAGAGGACCGCCGATCCGACGACGAGGAACGCCACTCCGACGACGAGGGACAGCGTTCTGACGACGAGGTTCACCGCTCCGACGGTGAGAGCCGTCGTTCAGACGACGAGGGCCAGCGTTCTGAAGACGAAGGCCACCGCTCTGAAGACGAAGGCCGCCGTTCTGAAGACGAGGTACAGCGCTCAGACGACGAGGACCGTCGTTCCGACGACGAAGACCGCCGTTCCGAGGTGGCCGCGGAACGGTCGGGTGCCTCCGGAGACGAAGGCAGCGCAAATGAAGCGAGCGCTAACGAGGCAAGTGGAGACGAGGCCAGCCGAGGCGAGGCGAGCGGAGACGAGGGTTCGGTGCACTCAAACGAAGGCGAAGCACGCGTGGCGGCGTCAGGTAAATTATGGAGAAATTTGAGCGAAAGCTACGTCGCGACCTAATCTTAGTTCTGCCGACTACCTTACTACACATAACTAATTTGAATGAAGTGTGTGTTGATATATCCAGAATGCAACATATGCGGTCAAAACAAGCTATCATTTACCAGTGAAAGCATGGACATAAGACATTATTAATAGGACATAGAATATCGAGCCGAGGGCAATAATAGTTCTGGCATGCTGTTCGAAAGCTCTTGCACATTCAAGTGGGACATTTAGACATGCTCTCTCTCATATCCAATGGGACAACTGTCAGTAGTCAGAAAAGGAATATCTTAGGCATGAGCTAATGTTCTGGAAAAAGAACATTTCATTGCCTTAATGAAGACACCATCTTGTTAAAATATTTTGTCTGGCATAAGATTTACCTTGTTTGACCACTCTTTAACACTCTTGTACTTGTCTTCCTGTAAGCCCTGTCTAGCTTGCACACATTGTAAAGCAATCTGTAAACTTGGTACACCATAGGCTTTGTGCCGTAGTTTTGCATAAATATGATTTTCGATTCATGAGAGGCAGTTTGTGATCATTAATCACAGGCTGCACACAATGTCATGGCGTCTAGAAAGAAAATGAAAATTAAAAATTACGAGGTTCTACAGTAATAAGTTGCTTACAAATGATGTTTCGCCCTCCCTTCTTATTGTGATTGTAACAGTCAGGTGTGTGCTAGCCTTTACAAATGAAACATGAACTGCACAACCTTTTTTTGGCAGCTTTTTGTGTAAAAGCTCCCACAGCGTTTCTCTCAGAACAGAGCAAGGCATGTTGGAAGCTTAATTTTATTAAAGGTGCCCTTTGTTACACTCATTCTAGCAGTGTCGCTGTTACACCGATTTGAAATTTTCTTTTCGTTTGCCTGTACATGTATGTTTCAGTATACATGTATGTATACTGAAACATACATACATGTATACAAGTATGTTTCAGTAACGAGATAACTGTCAACCACTTCTTATATGTGTGTATACTGATCAGCAAAGATTGCTGTTCACCTCACTAAACTCATTTCGTACATTGCTTAAACATGATTTCGTACAATGCTTAAGTGCATTGCACGAAATACATTTTGGACACTGGCTTAACTTTGCTCAGGTTCTTCAAGCTGGATGCAGAAAATGCATGCATGTAGAGCAGCAACATCTTTGCATGCCACTTCTGTTCTAGAATGTTTTATGTTTGTGAAGTGCTGTGTTATTGTCCTTGGTGCCATTACTTGTGAACAGGCTCGGACTCCGATGCTGAGAGCGCCATAGGACGCAAACGAAGGCGATCGGGTGGCAGTGAAGCTGCTTCTGCTGGCTCTGCTGCAGAAGGTGAGAATTAAGCCCAGCGCCCTGTTGCTTTTTCAGTCTTTCTATGTATTGATCAACAGTTAGTTGTCATGCAGCAAAGCTTTAAAGGTGATCTACTACAAAAGTTTTGACTGCATGAAAGCCTTAGTTTAAGATAGCTTCCCTACGAAATTATGTTTGAAATTTCATTGGAAACAGCACAGAAAGCTTGTACAAGTAGCAATTTTTGGTGCCGAAATCGGAAGAGGCACCAACATTAGGCTCATTGGAAGCTACAGCTAAAAAGTGCAGCGCACCTTGGTGTGACTGCGGATATAATGGGTCAGAGAAACATTATGAAGATAAGATGCCTGTACCTGTGTCACAGTGAAAGCCTCTAGGTTGATCCGTTATCTGCTTAGGTGCCCTTTGACGGCTGCTTACTACACCATTACTGGCCAAACAGCTTCGCCGAGACTGCATTGCTACTTGTAGAACTCCCTTTCAAAAGTCTCAATGAACTGAGTCAAAGTGAAATTTTATTTGGCCTTTAAATATGATAATTACTCTTATTAAGCATATATTGAGGGTTGTGGCAAAGGGGAGCGAACACCAGGAAGGGCTCTCAAGAATTTTCAGGTGTGACTTAGGACTTCCTTTAGCTGTTGCTGGAATTTCGACAGTGATTGTTAAAATTTGCAGAGCTTCACACAAAGACGGTTACAGACTGCGAAGACTGCTTCCTGCCAGTTGTAGAGGTGCCGGCAAGCTCTATGAGCATTTATGGCAAGGCTTGCACTGAACCACACGCTTCTTGGATATTACTGTGAAACACATTAGAATTATCAGCAATACCTATGTCGTTGCTCTGGTTTCGTTTTAACTGACATTTTCGTCTGCCTGCAGTGAATGTTTGGATTGTTCTTACTAGCTCCTGCTTTATAAGGCTGCTTTTGCTGAAGGTTGAACTGCTGGGAGGATTATTAGGTTCCTGATCTGGCGTCTCATGTTGGCAGGTTCGGACGACGACGAAGCAGTAACAGGTCGAAAAAGGGCACGAATCTCCAGCCCCGAGGAGAAGGGCGAAGAAGCTGAGGTAGGAGGCTCTCTTCGGTGAAGACTTAGACGACTTGAGCTCGGATGAGGAGGGCGCTGCCAAGAAGAAAGGCGGGGGTGAGACGCCAGTCAAACGCATGGGCAGCGATGAGGAAGAGGAACCGGAGGAGAAGCGAGCGGAACCCGAGGTAATAAGGTGCACCAATACACTTTGTCTCTGTACAACTTATTAGTCATCATTTTAATTGCACTGCGGTGGTTACTGTAAAGCTCATCATAAAGCTTGCTGCCTTGAAAGTTGCTTATGTGGTGGTGGTACATAGTAGTGCTCATGTTAAACACATTATCCTGAAGAGGGCATGACTCGATGGGAGAGGAAGCAGTTGGAAGATCATGCCTTGTCCTTTTTTATGTGCTCCATCTTGTATTAGCACAGCTACCCTCAAGAATTCTCTATTTTGTGCAGGCATGAAATTGAGAAATATACTTGCAAGAAAACACTGTTAAGCTTACATCTGTGAAAAAATTTTCTCAACTTCTTAAAAGATGCAAAAATAGAAGCAATTAATTTGCACTAGACAGATAGTTTACCTTGAACTCCTTTGGTTTCTTCGGTCATAAACATGTAGCTTAATAGAATGTGAAGTGAGGTTATGACTTACACTTGTAATATTTATGCCAGAACTGCAGTGCCAGTGATCTCATCGAGACATCAGAGGTTTTAATGTTTGAAGGATGCGAGATTGGCTTTTTAAATGCACTGTCATGTGATCTTGCTCTCAATGAGCAGTGAACCATCCCTGGCACTACAGCAGTGTGTTACCGGCAATGAAGCTAGTAAGTAGATATTATGGTGGTGTTGCTTCTGGTTTATCACTCATATACTAGCGTGCATATCTCTTGGGTGTAATATACCAGCCTATGAATGCTAAGCGAAGGTTTATTGCGCATATAATTTTTACCATAAAGTGTTCTGCAATGTTCATTTGACTCTTTTCTCCTTACAAGAACTTTGTAAATTATTGTGATATTTTGATCAAGTGAATTGCTACAGTTGCAGCATGTGACCGCTCAAGATTCAGCTGCTCTTGTTTTAAAGTATCTGTTATGCAAAAGGTATGATTGGCTCATTGGTCTCAGTGCTGTAGGAGAAAGTTTAAGTGCTTGGGTTTACAGCAACATCTTGTGGCGTAGAGATCAACCGAACGATTGTGACTGTGCCTGCAGCTGGCCATAAATGCGTGAATTAGCATGACAAAAAAAAACAAAAAAAACTGAGGAGCAAATGTTTGACTTGGGAAGATTAATGACCAGTAGCTACTTTAATACAAACTGCTAAATATATGCAAATGATGTACTCTAGCAGTTGCCCGACAGCTAAAATAATTTTTGTAAACCATTTTTGACATCAGTGCATAAAGCACTGTTCTGAATCACCCATAATTCTCCTGCCAATGCTTCTACACGAGGCAAGACGTTACTATGACGCACGTCTTCACCCACTTCACCAAGATCGGTGGGGCCACTGGCACTCTTGGGAGTTCATTTATGACCGTCATTCAGCTCTTCACAGTTTCATGGAAGATGTGCATTCAATGCTTGTGGCCCATTTGTGTTCATTCTTTTGCAGCAAGGTGAAGAAGAGGAGGTGCCAGTCCCAGAGACACGCATTGATGTGGAAATCCCACGTATTATGACCAACCTTGGAAACGAGGTCCACTTTGTCAAGCTGCCAAACTTCCTCAGTGTTGACACAAGGTTAGCTAGCCGCATGCCACCGGGTGCCTTTTTTAACAAGCATTGCCACTGAGTACTCGTCATTTTGCACACATACCTAGAAAGTGTGGCTGTTGTACTCTTATTTTCTGTTTCACGCATACAGTATTCCTAACTTTACTGTAGTTGCTAGTGTAACTGCATCAGCTTGTGCGTGTTGAGTATAATCAGTGAGTGAGTCATTTCAGGCTGTTTGGAGTTATAGCGTAATAGCCTTAGGTTCAGGCGAACGTATGGAGTTATAGCTTGCTGGCCATATGGCCAGGCAAATGGAGGCACCTGTTGTAGAATGCCTTTCTCACTGTATCTGTGCAGGCCTTATGATCCTCAGTGGTATGAGGATGAAGTAGATGAAGATGAAGTGCTTGACGAAGAAGGAAGAGCACGACTCAAACTGAAGGTGCGTGTTCTTGAATTGACTGACTCATTTCATCTTTACATTACTCCGAGAACCGGTGCAGCAGCCCCATTTGTGTTACTCATTGCATCGTTGCTGGGATTCGCCATTGCTTGCAGGTTGAAAACACAGTCCGGTGGCGCTACCTCTATGATAAGATGGGTAATCCAGTGAGGCAGAGCAACGCCCGGATAATCAAGTGGTCAGATGGGAGGCGAGTGTTCATTCGACTAGTTTTCCATGTCCAGGGCATGATGTTCTTTGAAATTTGTGCACATCAGTCCTTTGCATATACGTTAACTGAAGAGAACATAACATCAATGGCGCGTTGAACTATTGATGCTTTCGATTATTTCTACAAAGCTCTTCAATCTTGAGCTGAAGGGCTAAATAACAAGTAGCAGCTTACAAAACAGTTGTCGACGTTCCCTCTGCCTGTACTCTCGTATCAATCAATATTATTTATTTATTTATTTATTCAATACTGCAGACTCGAGGTCCAAGCAGAGTGGTAATACACATACAAATAATACACATACAATATAATTTCCATCCAACAAGCACCTTCAGGGACCTGTGAGAGTAATATACAACTGATTGTCCCCGTAGTGGTTGTCCCCTTTTGCTTCCTTTCAAACATGCCTTTTTTTGCTCATCTTTTTTGTTTATGCATAACACGCATTTGTATTTCATGTATTTCATTTGAAATGCTAGGCCAACAGGAAGTGCTGCTGGTATTTGCTGATTTGTTAGCAGCATACACAGGGTGGAGTTGTACTGCCCTCTATCGGCCTAAGTATGGTGCCCATCTATGCAGCATGTCACTACATCTGGGCTCTGAAATCTTCGACGTGCACAAGCAGTCACTGATGCAAGGAGATCACAACCACTTGTTCATTCGTCAAGGCACTGGTCTGCAGGGGCAGGCTGTCTTCCGCACGAAACTCAGCTTCAGGCAAGTCACCAACTGTTCTAGGTCATCAGTCAATATGAAACTAGCTGTCAAAAAGCCTAGCTCCACTGACAGACGACAGTTTAGGCATAGTCAGTCAGCTTTTCCTTTTTGCCCACTCTTTTAAACTAGGCAGACAATTCCTTTCAAGGACATCATTTATGTCCTGCAACACATGCTGCCAGCAGTTCCATTTTTTTGTAGGTCTGCGATTGCTATTGGTTCTTTTTCTTTTAAAATCGGCATTAGCCATACTTAAGGTCATTGTACTATCGGCTTCAAATTAGAACAGTGGCAAGCATTAGCAATGATGCAGTGTGCGCCGTCCAGTCATCACCGTGGACATGCGTAGTGCTGCGATACCTGAGTGGTGTGCGCACGCACTGTACTATTGGATGGCATGCACTGTACTATTTATGTGATTGCCATTGTTTGGGTTTCGTTGCACGTTGATAGAACATGCTTTGCTAGGAAGCAGAGTTGTGTGTAGGCCAGCCATCTTGCATGCAAGAGGAACCACAGACAAGAAAAAAAAAAGTGTTGTGTTTGCAGAAACTGAGCTTGTCCCAACACCAAGAATAGTAACCTGCCTGCTATACTCGTGGAATACTTTTTTTTATTAGCTTAACATATGTAACCTGCAAAAGCAGCAGTGGTTAGACTTGTTCTTTATGCAACATCTTGTTGTCCGAGCTGAAGCGTTGCCCTGCACTGATTTTTACATTGTGTTCGGTGCACCGGAGTAGATTGTCAAAGCGTATGCCAGTTAGTAACCATGACGGAATTCGATCTATAAAAAAAAGAGAAAAGGAAAATTCTCGTGAGCATTTGCCTAGATTTCGATGATTAAAAAAGGGCAGTGGCATGGTAGTGTGAAGTGCTGTCATTGGTAACATTAGTTGTGCCCTAATGGCAGCTTCTCTGTGCTACACGGTTGTTTTTAGAATCGCTATCAGAGTTGTGTTTTACAAAAAGAGGGTTGCGATTATGGATCTCTGCAGGATCTATGTGGCAACTCTAGCATAAAATCCGATTTTGTGCCATGCTGTCTACGGCAGTAATATCATGACTATTTTTTTTAATAGTAAAAATTTGTTAAGTTTTGTGTAAGAGACATGCAGCAAAGTGGACCGAAATATATGAGCTCTTCCCCCTCTGTCTCTGCAGGCCTCACTCGACCGACAGCTTCACCCATCGCAAGATGACACTGTCACTCGCTGGTCGTAGCCAAAAGACGCAGAAGATTCGAGTGCTGCCTCAGGTTGGCCAGGATCCCGAGGCACACCGCAGTGAAATGATCAAGGTTTGTCTTACGTTATTTTTTCATGACTCTTCCTGTAGACAGACCTCTTAGTGACAGCCAGACGATGGCACTGTTAGCTCCGAGCCCTTACTAATGGAATTCACACGTTTATGCAGAAAGAGGAAGATCGGCTTCGGGCATCGATCCGGCGCGAGAGCAAGCAGCGGCGCCTTCGCGAGAAGTCCCATTCACGTGGCCTCAGTGCAGCGTACCTGGAGGCCGATGAAGATGATGCAGCCATTTCCCTGTCGGCCATCAAGAGCAAGTACCGTCGCGGAGGGGCTGCACTTAAGGGTAAGCACGGTATTGAGAGTTGGAATCCTGTGCCTAGACGCTACATTTTCATAGTTGACAGTTGGGACTTTCAGCTTTGTACCATGTGCATAACACTTCCCTACTGCAACAATTTCATAGCATTGGCATATTTCGGTTAATTTGGCATCTTATTTCTTTTCTTCCCTTCTCCAGCTTTCATTGTTCTATTTCGTTTTCCAATTAACTCTCATAAAATAACAAACAGACACTTTTTTGGATTTCTTGCCCCCCTGCCTTCACATCTTCCCTCAAAACTACTTTACATATAGGTACTTTACTTGAACTCTGTGCTATTTGGCAATTTCAATACATACCCAACATTAATCTAGTTAACACAGACACAGCGGCCAACATGGACACATGTTTCTCAGAGGGGCCCTGAAACACTTTTTGAACATGGCCAGAAAGTGCTGACGATTGTTAAACGAGCAGCAAGTGAACCAAACATTGTAGCACAGCATGCAGCTTGGAGTCAACAACAAATTTTCCAAATCTGCTCGAAATCGCTCGGTCTTCTCTTCACAAATAATGTTGTCAGTACCATTTTGAATGCGTCATGACACTGCCGTGGTAAAGATGTATGATAACTAGAACTGTGCGAATAGCAAGATTTTGGGTGCAGAGCGAATTTGAATATTGAAGCACGAGTGCGAATCAAATTGAATATTTTTTCAATACTTTGAAGCGAAATTTGCAGAAAGAGGAGTTGGAGAGGATTTCTAAGCATATTTTTATGAGATGGCAACATGAAAGTGCTTCTTTTTGTTAGGTTGATAAAGTGCTGACGAGATAGTGTACCATAATCAAGAATGAGGCAGTGCAAAGGCCCAATTGTATTTATGTACATGATTTGGTGCAACCACAGCGTTCCCGACAAAACTTTACATGTGAAAGGAAAAGCCCTCCTCTTTTAACACCTGTGGAAGTTCAACTGACGTGGCGATGCCGATGTGCTCCTTTCAAGCTCGGAGTTCGAAATCTACCCCATAAACGACAATATATAAGAAAATCTGAAATCTTGGGCGATAAGAATCTCCGGCGTTTAATTTTTGGGGCTTCCTGTCCAAATTTCTGGGCCAATGCAGAATTTCCATATCTTGCCACCTTTTCCATATCTATCATCTCTATGTTAAAAGTGGCGTTTTCTTCGATCAATACTTTTAAGATATCGCATCCTGAAAGGCAGCTTTGCCGCGGTATGGAACTGTGATGAGGTGAAGCGGTATTGAAAATCCGAAGGGGACATTTTTAATTGGATCCGAAACAGTATGTGTGGTATGCTCTTTAGGAGTCTGAAAGGCAGCTTTGCCAAAATACGAGTGTGTATCGAGGTGAAGCATATTGAAAATTCAAAGGATTAATTAGATGTTGACTGTATTTGCCTGTGGAAAGTTTGAATAGTGAAATTCCAGTGCGAATCGAATCTACTATTATAAAAATTGTGCTGATGATCACATGATAGTGAGCTGCACATTTAGAGAAATGAAAGTGTGCAAGGTCACGACAGGCACTGATGTATGGACACAGCATCTTGCCTATTAGCTATTCCCACCAATGTAGCTTTCAGCATGCTTGCTGGGTTAAAAGGAGAGAGAGAAAATACCTAGATCGTGCTACAAATGCATGAAGCTCGGCTCGTGCTCAACGTGCTCTAAAAAATGTTTGCGGCAGTTGATTTGTGAAGTAATAAACTGCGATAACAAGGTCATTCAACGATCATTTGGAAAAATGTTCCGGGGTCCCTTTAACTAAGAGGTGCTGGAACACTTTTCGAGTAAAATCGGAGCTTGTCGACCTTTAATTCAATAAAGATGCACATCTGAATATCTGTGATATTACGAAGCTACAAGAAAATAGTTCATATTTTGCTCTTTTGGTCTCGATAAATGGCTGTCTTTTTAATATTTTGTTTTCTCTCACATTACGCATCTGGCATGCAACATATTGTAGTGATGTTGAAGGACTTGGTGGTATGAGGAAACGTATTTATTAAAAGGGCGAACCTGTGCCCACAACTCAAGGTGACTATGATCGTAGGACTATGCGTCGGTAGAACACCAAAGCTGTCCTTCAGCCGCCTTCTTCCTTTCCGCGAGATGTCCCGAGCACGTGACACATATCAGCCGGGTCCACCTGGGTGCTCGTGCCATCATCGTCTCTGGGCGGCACAACACGGCGTGCATGTGTCGTGCTTCTTCGGCTCTTTGCAAGAAGTCGTCTAGGTGCGCGCGGTGAATGCGTTGTTTGAATGCAGGCAAGATGTCGTGCCATAATCCCCCACCTCATGCTCATTGTCCTTATGCATCAGGCAATGAATGGATTTCTGGTAGGCGTCACTGGTTTTCCGATGATCTTTAATAGTAAGACTTCATCCGGACTACATGTACCACCTCTGTACGGTTGTAGAGTTTCACATCGCTTAAACGATGGACTACTTCGTAAGGCACGAAGTATCGGCTAAGAAGTTTTTCAGAGAGTCCACGGCGATGCACTGGGGTCCATATTCGTACTTTGTCACTGGGCTGATAATGTGCTTCAGTACGACGCTGATTGTACTGGTAGGAGTCGATAGGCTGTTGGCCGCGTATTCTGTATCTCGCCATCTGTCGTGCTTCCTCGGCTCTTTGCAAGAAGTCGTCAAGGTCGGGTGGATTGCTGCATTCATCATTTAGTGGTACCACGTCATCCAGTGGAGTGGTGACTGTTCGGCCGATTACAAGTTCGCATGGTGCCACTCGCGTTGTTTCTTGAACGGCTGTAATATATGCGAGCGTGATGTAAAGTAATATTTCATCCCACAGTATATGTTCAACGTGGACATACATTGAAAGCATATCAGTCAGAGTTCTGTTCAGGGCGCTCAATTAGGCCACTTGTTTGAGGATGGTATGCCGTAGTTCTTCTGTGATCTATATGGGTCATTCACATCAGACATTTCCTTAGGTCTGCAGTAAAAGCTGTGCCACGATCTGTAATTATGACGATGGGTGCACCATGCCTGAAGACTATGTTGTTGATGAAGAACTTGGCAACTTCAAGAGCTGTTGCTCTATACAGAGAGTCAGTCTCAGCTTAACAGGCGAGATAGTCCTTCGCTAGGACTATCCATTTCTTGCCTGCTGTCGATGTCGGAAAAGGCCCTAGAAGATGCATACAGACTTGTTGGAATGGGGCATCCGGCGGTTCTATTGGCTGGAGGAGGCCGGCTGGTTTCACGGATGGAGTTTTGAGTCTTTGACACTCGCGGCAAGTTTTCACGTAGTGCTTAACTGATGCTAACAGCTTTGACCAGTAGCATTTTCAGATGAATTCTGGGGAATGTACTGCTGACACCCATATGTACAGATGTTGGTTCGTCTTGACATGCGTGCAGAATCTCGTCTCGTAAAGCTGCAGGTACAACCAGTAAAAACTTGTCACCGTTGGGCTCGAAGTTCCTCTTGTAAAGGACGCCTTCTCGAAGACAGAATAAAGGGAGCTCTCTGGATAAAGTGCGTGGGACTTTAATGTTGAGTTTTCGGAGATGCTATATAAGCAGCAGCAAATCTGGGTCATTTTGTTGTTAAGCGATTTATGATGCCTAGACGGCAAGTCTTCTTCCTCTGGCTCACTTGCATCCACTGGTGCGCATGACAGGCAATCCGCATTGCTGTGTTTTTCCCAGATTTGTATACCAAAGTAATATCATACTCTTGTAGACTAAGGCTCTGTCTTGCTAGTCGGCCAGAGTGTTCGTGCCATCGTCGTATCTGGGTGGCACAACACGGCGTGCGTGTGTGTCCCTGTGCGTGCAGTGATGGACACGTTTGAATGCAGGCGAGAAATTGCGGCAATATACTCTCTTTCAAACACTATGCGCCAATGTGGGTCACTTTTATGGAGCCAATCATGGTATTGCTCTTCACCGCATACCGTCTGAACGATCGCCGCCCGCTTATTGGCGCACGTTAGCTTTCCTCTACATGCCTTGCAAGCTAGATATACAAGTAGACATCGCTTTACATTCATCCCATTGACTGCACTTAAAAATATGCAAGCTGACACAAGACAAGGTATAGACATTGTACTCCTGTACATAATTTGGGCAGATTGCTAGGCAAGAATCACACGGCGTTTGTACTCTATTTGTGCTACATCATGCAAGTATTATAGCTGTAATGAATGCCACCATCTTGCACCTCTGCACCGGAAGTAGCAGCCAGTACGCTCCTAGCAAAAGTAAGTTGTGACACTGAATATCTCATTCAGTATTGCAACTTGCCTCTCTTGCCATCCGCAGGGCTCGTGTGAAAGAGGGAAAGCACTCCTTTCATATGAGAAATGCCTAAAACCCTGTTTATACTTGATGTGTCTGATAAATATTTGCAGTAGAAAATTTATGAGGCAGTCAAGTTTATTGTTTATTCATGTTTAACAATAATGAGTGTGGCCAAGAGATTTGCATGTGACATGTGCACAGTGCCTGTGAATGTAAAGATTTGCATTATCTATTCTAAAACTGCCTTTTGTGTCTTCTGTGGCTAAATCTTAAAGGTCATCAAGTTTTGAATCTTTATTGCTGTGTAATGGGATTCTTGAATACGTTATCAACCCGAGACGAATTATTTTTTCTCATTCAAGTGCTCGAGTGTCTGTGGCTTTGCCAGCAGTAATCACTCTGTACTACTTGTCCTTTTCAGAGCGCCCTTCCATTTACTCTTCTGAGGAGGACGCATCTGATCTAGAAGAACAACGCGCTCGACGATTAGAGAAAGCTAAAGCAGGACCAGAAAATGATGACGATGACAGTGACCTGGTAAGTCGCCGTCATGTTCACTATACATGTGCATGCAGCCACAATGCCATGCATTGTTAACATTGTTGTGGTTTCTGTAGTGAGCAGATTTCTAAGATTCAAGTCTTGTCTTGGCAAGGATTGAACTTGCATATAGCTTATGCTAACATGCTTACAGTGCAGTCCAATTATAATGATATCCAAGTGCTAACAAAATTTCATCGTTATAACCAATAATTGTAATTAGCAGATTGAGAAAAGAAGCACTAAAGTGAGGTCATAACATCTTATTTCCATGCAAGTTAGGTAGTGCAACTATTGTTTGTGGAAAAGCCATCCTGTCAGCTTTGATTGCTTCAGGCGGAGCTTGAGCACATTTTTTTTATTAAGAGCATGAAGGTGCTCCACGTAGCTTAGTGGAAGGCCCTTCGTGAAAAGAAAGTCCCGGAGCGACTGTGTCATTTGTTGGGCTTCTCGAAATGAGAGTACCTGGGTAGGCTGCTCAACCAAGTCGTCGCGAGTTGCTGCTCTCACTGCTGTCTGGAACACGTGTACGTGCAACAATTGTTCATTACTGAGACACACGGACGTTTCCGCAACATCGTCTGCATGAAGTAAGTGGTCCACACACGACGCATTTTTGCTAAGCACCAACCAGAACTCCAAGCAGCTTTGTCAATGAGCACTTGGCAGGCCTCTCTCTTCCTCATAAGTTTTAGTTCAAATTTCGTCACTTCTCTCTCATAAATAGACGTGGTCTGAAAGGCCACTCTTTGCACTTGCCAGGCGTGGCCAGTTTCGGTTTCTACATTGAAATTCAATTATGAATATATCAAAATATGTGCAACTTTTGAGACTTCTTAAAAGTGGGTATGCCATAGATTATCATGCGGAACAACTTTCTAGTATAAAGAACAGCCCTCATGTCACTAATTAAAAAATTAAGTTCTTGTTATATTTGTCACATGAATGTAATTTTAGCTGCGGTAGTATTTAGTTGCGGTAGTATTTTAGCTGTGGAAGTATTTTCCCTTAACATGTGCAAAAACAGCAGGAACCCGATTGTCATAGACGTTTTATAAAACCTAAAGCACATTATTGACTAGCTTGAGGAAATTAAGCGGAAATAGTGCAACAGCAAGACACTATGCCTTATAGTGGATAATTTGTGGACATGTTGGGCAGGCAGGTTCTTGCATTAAGATGTTGACCCGCCACGGTGGTCCAGTGGTTATGGTGCTTTACAGCTGAGCCGAAGGTCGCAGCATTGAATCATGCCCACATTTTCGATGGAGATGAAAATAGTTTTTGATACTCATGCACTATATAGAACCCCAAGTGGTCGAACTTCTGAGATGTTACAGCCCAATATTTATTATCAAAATGTTGACGGGCAAGGCAGTTTCTTATTGACTGGCACAAGTGTGCCAAATCTTTCAATGCGGCAACGAAAGACTAAGCATAGCAGTGCCTCTGCTCTAAAATTTAACTTTTGTACTTGTTGTTGCTGCTGCTATGCGAGAGACTTCACAACTTAGCTCATTTTCATCCTCTTCACACTTTGCCTTGTGGCTCAGTGGACTGCAGCAACCCATACCTGCTTTCGGATTGTCAATCTCTACTGCGAGCACGAAGTAATTTGAAGGAAAATCGGAGGGGATCACTCGTTGCCACAAACCAACAGTGAGGCTTAAGTTAATGCCAATGTCCACTGGTAGAGTGTTGGCAGATACCACGGGGTGCACTAACCCAGACTAATCGATGTTATACCAGAAAACGCTATTGACCCCAAATTATATTACGCAGCAGCTCTTGCAGTCCACAAAGCTTTGCATAAAACCTGTGCCCAGCCTGTGGGCTTTCCACTTTGAAGCCTGTACTGTACAGTGCACCAACTCTTAGCTTACCATCATTCAACATAAACAAAGTTTGATATTTTTCTACTACAATGTAGCTGTTAAATCACTGATGAGTGTGCACATCTGTCAATGCATGTGGACTGTATGGCATGAGCACAATGCTAAACATTACATTGCGTGTGATGAACACAACACAGGACATGAGAGAACGCAAGGCACACACACACATTTCATGTAGAAAATTAGTGCCACCAGTGCCTGGTGTCCCATGTTACGTGTGCAAGATGCTATAATAGGTTTCTTTCCTTCAACAGGACTACTTCGACAAAAAGGCGGAAAGCAAAAAAGCGAAAAAGGCCATTGAAGAGAGTGACGAGGACGACTAGGCATCCTCAATTGTTTCATACTGTACATACTCTTATTCATAGATAAACATTTTTTTTTATTCATGTCTTGCACATTGGCAGTGCTTGTCCATTTTCTTCCACTTTGATAAAAGATCTTTATTCCTCTCTACACGTAAATGGTGCCTTCTTGCCGTTATTAAATACTACCAGTCTAACAGTCGTTACAAACTCTTTCGGTATGTCTCTCTAAACACATTTCTTTTAAAGATACGCACACTGCAGCCACACCTGGCTCTGGCTACGTCCACAACACAAACACACACTACAAGGTGGGAAAGCGAGGGGGTGGCAGGTGAGGGTGTAAAAAGGACTCCTTCAACATGACCTGCTTCTATGTACACAATGTGCTCGTCTAAACAACCTGTGTTGTGACAGCGTCCTAAATAGTTGCTGCACTGAATAGACAGTTATAATAGAAAAAAATGAACGGCTTGGGAAGAGTTCTGCCGTTGAGTCTCCTTACAGTAAAGAATTTTTTTCTTCTTTTGTCCCTTAGCTAGGGGGGGGGGGGGGGGGGGGCACACTTCACTCCAGCTTCATGTGGCTGGGATGCACAAACCGTGCACGAGCAAATCATAATGTCTCTGCGCCAGTGCTCCTCATTAAAAAAAAATTAATAGAAAATATGCACGGCTCAGTCACTGCTCAGTGCTGCTAACCACACTTGTACAGGTTGCTACGGTTAGAAGAAAAGAGGGGGTGGAGGGGTGAGGTTTCAAGGAGGGGAGCGCGAGGCCTTTGGTCCATCTGGCATCATCACAAGTGGCCGCCGTTCGGCAAGTCTGCCGCCATCACACCACAGGGGCAACACACACCCCATGTCTCGAGCTGAGGAGATTGCAACGGGCCCCCCTCGCACACGCGGTCACTGCTGAACGTCCACCACAGGGATTGACACATTCACTGGAAGAGCGTACTCGTAGCCACCCTTAGAGGCCATCTGGTTCTGGAGTGCGTTGAGCTGCAAGCACAAGTAAGTGGATGCTGCAGTGAATTGCAAACCCAATGAAGCACTCTTGGCATATAGTGTCTACTGTAGGGGCAGTGCCCTAACATTCAGGATTGCATGGGCCAAAGCCCAGACAGCTACAGGAGTCCACAACACGTTCAGTCTAGTCTGTAGCACAGCATAGCACTCCACTTAGACAACACTCTGCTAATACGCAGAATATGTAGGAAGTATGGCAGCTATTGTTCCACAGATATGCACTTGGAACGCCAAGGAGAAAAAAGAAACTTGAACGAGACATGAACATTGCCTTCGAAGGACCACAGTAACGTTATTGGTCTCGTTTGTATTGCCTTCTCACTCTCTATCCAGGCTTTCTATTTTGGTAGGGGCCTCAAGTGTGCTGTGTTTAAAGGTAGGGCTGCCGAACACCTATGCTCTTTCAACAGGTTCATTTATGAAAATTTTATTTTTTCTACCCTCAACCCCTCTCCACAATGGAAGTTATCAGCCCTAATAGTAAACAATTTTGCAAGTAACACTGCCACACCACTACATTAGCCAATTGTGTTGAATACTGCATTGGTAGCTGCAGTATCTTGAGGTCTTAAATGTGTTTTCGGAGTGGTTATAAAGTAAACCTGAGTGCCCGTCGGACAGCACTTCGTGACATCATCAATACAATGCATTTAGTGGCCACTTGGGCTCTCACTGATGTTTGCAGGGGCGTTTGCAGGGTGCATGCAAGGCCAACCATACTAGTGCAATGATGGGCCCCTCTCTTACGTCACTTCGTTGTCAGGATGCTCTAAAGATAGCTCTGGTTGCTTATGCCACTGAAGTATTAAATAGCATAGCAAAGGTTATTTTTTTTTTCAAGGACACGCACATTTTGGCAGAAGAACCCACCCAGTGATTTGCACCTCAACTGATATTGCAGCAATTGCATAAATTCTAGGCTTCTGCGAATATTCAGACGAATATTACAGTATTTGAATTTTTTTTTTTCATTCAAATCCAAGTTGTTGAAAATTTTGAAGTATTCGAAATGAATGAATACACGTATAATAATTTGCATGTACCAAACTCCCTGTAAAAATGACTTCACTCCAGTAAAGAAGTTCCAAGCCGTGAAAACATCTATCCCAAGAAAATCCACACTGCCTCGAAGCCCCACATCAAGATTAAAAAGGGCCCTGCAACACTTTTTAGCATAGTCAGAAAATGCAGCCGATAAGTAGTAGGGGCTCCGGAGAACATGAGAGCCAAATACTATAGCGCAGAATGTGGCCTGGAATTCACAATAAATTCTCAAAGTCAGCTGAAAATTGCTTTTCCCTTTTCTCGACGAATGACGGTGGAAACTCAGAAATCACTCCTAGAAGGCCATCAATCAGCCATTGGCTAATTTGAACATAGCGCGCTCGGTCGTTACAAGGACTGCCACGAGAGGCCGCCACTTGTCCACATGTGTGTGCGCGATCACCTAGCAAAAGCCACATGTTTGAAGAAAAAGAAAAGTACTCGAGGTCACGAGGCACACGTGACGTATTTTCTTTGCCCATGCCATCCCTCCCTGCTTAGCTTCCAGCGCTTTCATCGGGACAAAAGAAGGGAGAATGCGAATGTGACCTGTGACAAGTCATTGTAACTGCTCATCTGAGTGGATTCTAAAAATTTTTGTGGCGTTGAATTCGTGAGGCAATATGCTCTTTTAGCGATTCCGTTCTATGGTTGCTTAAAAAAGTGTTTCAGGGCCAATTCAAATGAACATATTACCCTTACATCGATCCATTTTTTTAGTTTATAAGCTCGTTATACTGGCTTATACACTCTTAGTAAATTTTAAAACGACATATTTTACATGTTAATCGTGCATTCTACCAAAAGTCCAACTGCTACTATTTTAAATCGTTTCCACTTTCTTTGAACCAAAAAAGTAGCATTTGTGTAGCCCTTGTTAATTAAAAAGAATATTGTGAAGATTAGTTAGGTCATGGCAAATGATTGATATGTGGGGTTTAACGTCCCAAAGCCATCATATGATTATGAGACACGCCGTGCCGTAGTGGAGGGCCCAGAAAATTTTAACCACCTGTGGTTCTTTAACGTGCATCCAAAACTGAGCACACGGGCCTACAGAATTTTCGTCTTCACAGAAAAGGTAGCCGCCACAGACAAGGTTTGATCCCGCGATTTGCGGGTCAGCAGCCGAGTACCTTAGCACTAGACCATCGTGGTGGGGCAAGTCATGGCCATGGCAAGTATACGCATTTTTCTTTATATATGTCATATATACTATTTGAATTCAATTCAAAGTTATTTGACCAATATCCCTGTTCACTTCATATTCACTTTGACGCTAAAATTCACTATTCGCATAAGCCTAGTCATTTCAATCTGCACACAAGGATTCAATTAAAACAAAATGCTGTCAATGCCACTGCTGTTTGGATGCATGCTTTCTTTGGGGGCTCCACTGTGGTACAATGTTAGTTTCTTATGATAATGTTGGTCAGGTGTTTTAAAGTAATGCCAACATTGAACATAATGATGTCAGCATTAATTGTTACATGCTAAAGGGGTTTTGAACCACTTTTCCAAGTAATCATTTGCTTCCTGCGGAATGTTGCAGCACATGCTCTTTTATTTCATTCTTGTGTTGCTTGCTTATTACATGTTTGAAGTACTGCCTTGCCAAAATCACTGACAGGGAACCATATAAATATGACTGGGAAACTTCCGACAGAATATTTCGATGAGATTATGCACCTGACGGAAACATTAGGGTTTGTTCTGGAACTTATGGAGCCAATGCTGTGTTTGTAGCTATCTGTGTACAGCGTGCCTACGCTGCTGCAGTTCGAGTTTTCATTTCCTGGCCACAAGTACGGCCAAATAAAGAGTCATCTGACACCAAGACTGCTGCCTTCGTCAGCCTCATGACCCCTGCGGTATTCTTTTCGACAACCTCAGTGACAGATTGATGATGACTCCTATAAAGCATTTAGAAAAAAACTTTTTGATTATCACAGACCCAGCTTATTAATACAAAAAAGTCACCAACAAAAATTGGCTGCAATTCTTCAATAATGCATAGTCAATATGGTTGCCATGCTATCTTTTATAGCACCGGTTTCCAAACCAACTTACATGAACATTCATGTCCCCAGAGCCAACATGAGCCGTGTGCTGGAAGTTTGTTGGGTTTCCAATCATGGTGCGGTCGATTCGCCGCCGCCGTTTCTGCAAAGACAGCACAACAGACATTATTGAACTGGAAGTGCAGCAGTCCTAACAACTGATTCTGAGCAACGTTCTACGCACACTCCACTCAATAACACCATGATCAGTAGTACTGTTCCATAGGTGAAAGACAAGACAACTTCATAATGGATTTAATGCGACTATCACAAGATTACGCACCGAATCGGGGCTTATTAAAATGAGGAATAATAACGGGTGAGTAAAACTGAAGCCAGCTTTTGAAGACAACTCCCTACAAAACCAGATACATCCACAACTTGTAATAATTTACGACGTCCAATACCTGACGGAAATAATGAGCAAATAAAGCAAAACAATGTAAAAGGCAGATAAATAATATGAATTCATAAAGACAAAACTAACTTTGATGCAAGAAATACAGAAAATGAATCTAACAATTGCGAAAAAAGCTCAAGTATACAACACTCATTTGATTCCAGTACAATAGTAGAATGGTCAGCAAAATGTTTTATGACATGTGCTTATGGCTGTGTACACCATAGAGCTTGCAGTATTGTCATTTGAAGGAGTAGCAATACAGATTTTTCACATATAGAACCTATCACATTATATCACGCTATAGAATATATCTTGGAGTGAGAAATGAAACTAAATATAGAAGGTAAATTATTTTGGTTCTAAAATTGCCTTCAAAAAGCTTTGCAGATGTAAAGTAACATGCCCCGACACGAAAAAATTTTTGGGTGAGTAACAGTAAAGGCAGTAGCAGTACAACCCTTTTCCAAGTAACCATTCAATGGCTTCATAAAAAATTTATTGGTGCATAAATCGACTGTCGCAAAAATCTTTTACATCTATTTATCTAGTCCCTTATGTTTGGGTGTTCTCATGGCCACCCTCTTGGCATGAACCAAAATTAGCATGGGAAGATAAGATGGTTTGACAAATATGACGCGCTAGTCAAGACATAAAACATGTTGCAATCCCATCGCGTACGTTGTCAAAAACTTCCCTCCAGACCCACGAGGGGTATGTGCCACAGGTGATTGACACTTAGTATCTACCCGGGAACAAGAGAACACACATGGGCAATTTTTGTATGTATATTTAGCGTCATTTCACGACATGTCGCTGAATAAAAATATTGCAACACGGTCAGCTTCCCTCTGCATGCTTTGCATGACATCGATTCCCAGGTACGTGAAATTTTCTGATTTTTTTTTTCTTCGAATGCATGGCCTACTTGCAATGTGATCGCAAGCAGCCACACGGTGGCTGCACACAACTATGCAGCTCTCAACGCTCGAATCAACCAATGACCATGAAGTCTGGGTGTATGGTGTAGTGATGAGGGGATTTGGAGTCTTTTGCTGAAAGAGGAGGGAACAATTCCTAGCGGACTTATGAGAATTAGTTGTAAATTTCAGGCTGCGTGCCGCGCTATAACGTCTGGCTCGCATGTTCTCGAAAGTCTCGACTATCGATTGGCAGCAGCGTTTTTTTTCACACATGCTGGAAAGACGTTTCAATGCCCCTTTAAGGCCAGAAATAGTTACACCGGTTGAAAAAAGAAGAAGAAAATCGTGTGCACGTTTCTACTAGCTGCATTTATATGTGATAGCAACAATGAAATCAGAAACATGGCATGCTAATGTGATAACTGCAAATGCATTTCTTGCCCCCCCCCCCCCCCAAAAGAAACAGTCTAAACAAGGGTAATTGTAATATATCAAATTATGCCCTTCTTTTATGCTTTATAGAGCTCCAGCCTTTATTTTTACCAAGGAAAAAAAATTACCAGTTGTAATTGCAACATCAGGGCTCTTTTTAGGAGTTGAATAAAACTGTATACAGAGATCTAAACTGTAAAATTGCAAAGGGATATTGGGAGTACAATGTCGATGAGTCTGTCTCACCGGAGCAGGCTGCTCAGTGACGCAGCACGCGAAGCACTGGACCCAAATGTCACCCATCCTGTTGTAGGCCAGCTCCTCGCAGGCCACACGCTTGCCCCCGCTTCTTCTGCGCTGCTGCTGCGGCACTTCCTCCGCTGGCTCTGTGGCCGCCGCCACTGCAATGGTTCCAAGCGCAACCTTTTGAGTTATGCATTTGTATCCTTGGCTAGAGCTGGAACATAAATGTTGGTTAGTTTCTTCCTGAGAAAAAAATGGTATTGTATGTTGGTCATAGCATACGTACATACAAACATATATGGCTTCTCTATTACATAGTGAACTTTGTACGAGGAGTGTACAAGTACACTACACTACTGCAATAGCAGTTTTGTAGTCAGTAGTTAGATTTCAAAATGTGCCTTGACTGATTTTTCTAGATAAACATTACAAGAAGTGTGCAATTTTCGAAAGACAGAGCCTGCCAAGCTATCACACGGACTGTACATTAAAAAAAATTCAACTTGCTTACTCCCAGGTTTATCAAATTTGCGTGGCCCCTCCTCGCATGTGTGCTGTGGTTTGGTTAACTTAGTTAAGCAAGACTGATAAGAAATCTTTGTGCTTCCATGATTCTTTAGGACGAGATCATGATCATGGGCAAGACCGAGATTATAATAGGGCATTCGGTGTGCAATTATTAAGTCATATGCCATTGCTTGATCACGTTTTGGTTTAATGTTCAAATAACTGTAAATTACCTGCAAGCATTTTCCAAAAAGCTTTATGCACTCTGGTATGGAAAGTACACAAGTGCTTTACCATATAAATTTATGTAAAAACATATTATACATTATCTTAAATAAGAGGCATAGTCAAACTTATTTTCCAGGGAAGAAGGGGAGAGGGAGATTCAACAATCCTTTACGCAAGTTCGTGAGCGTGCTAGTATGCCTACACATACTGAAAAAGTTCACAGGGGCTTTCAAACCCACTATAGTCCCCGAGTCACTAAACCCCCAGCACCGCCCCCTGACGATGTAGAAGCATATCGCAGATTAAAATGCAGAAGTACTGATCTCCATCACCGCCTCACCGATGGAATACGTGCAGCTTAATCAATGCTTCTGCTTCAACTTATCTTGGAGTTAACGCCCGACAGCGAACAACGAGTCTTCGGAAGATTTATTGCGACCTCCTAGATTCTTACATGCAGATGCTTACTTACGGATACACGGTAAAAAAAATATATGCGCTTTACGGCCAAATATGCAGCTAAAAAAATGTTTTTTTCAAAAAAATCTAAGGAAAAACCCATTTAAGCAGTGTTCGCCTAAAAACGGCTTTACGAGTCTTCAAGAGACTGTCAGCACGCGCTTACGAACGAGCGCGCCACGAGTATAAAATAAACTCGCTCCGACATGTGCACGCGCGACCTGATTCGGCGAATTACTAGAGAAAAAAAAAACTTTTTTTTTTTAGAAATAAAACGAGCACGACTGGGAAGGGGAGTTGGCGCGGCGGGCGACCGACCCCCTGCCACGCTACGGCGGCAGCGCGCGACAGAATCGGAATCGCATAGCAACATCTGCAAGTGCAACGACTGCTCTTTACTTTTTTGCCACCGCAGCACGCGAAAAACCGCGAAAGAACACACACGCACGCGGCGGGTACAACGATGCAGTAAATCGTGGTCCACGATTGCGACGTCTTTTTGTCTGGCAACAACAACACCTCACGTGCCATTTCCTCGGTCGAAATCCCGTGCGCCCGGTATACTTTCAGATTCTCAACGTCGCGTCCGTTATCAGTGCGGCAAGCCGGTAGACAACGATCGTTGTAGCGCAATAATACACCACAATAAACCGCGCGAACTTATTCAGAACGGTTTACTTCGGCACCTGCACTTAAAAGCATACGGAATCCTGACAACACGACGCCAGTTATCCCTAACCGGCCGGCACAAGGAATAAAGGTATAGTGTACTAGTACACTATACTACGGGTTCGGCAAACGAGCCCGTCAACATTTTGCTTCGTCCGGCAGTGTGAAGTACTTGTCCATTTATCATTAGAGCTGAGGCGAACGAACACTCGCTAAAGGCGATAACGACACGTCGAGCGCTATTGCTTCAATTTCGTATGACCCGATGGCTACCTTGTGCAACCAAACCGAAAACGGGACATCAGCGCACTCCACGATTCGCAGCTTCCACTACACACGCAAATTTTCCAACTGTGCCGGCTGTACAACAACAAAATGGCGGCTTCGATGACGTCCATTCACGTCACATCAGCATGTACGCTACAATTGGGCTAGACTTACTGCGCATGGCTCCAACAGAAGCCACACACAGTAACCCCAGTTATGGTATGGCTCGTGGCGTTCTTGCTAGAGTTACTGTACTTGGTATTGTGAATCTAGCTATAGGCCTAAGAACATTCGAGATCATTGCCGACGGCATCAATGGAAGCGCGGACAGCCTACACGCGACTAAAAAGCAACGGACGAGCGCGCAGGAAATAGACGGCCTCCGAGACCCCACGCAGCGGTATACGCACCGTCTTCGGACGAGGAGCGCTGTTCCTTGCCATCCTCCTCCAGCGACATGGTGCCAGCGACGAGCTCTTCGCAACACGAGGAGGCGATGCAGCGCGCGCGCTACGAGCGGACACTGCACTTCGTCCACGTTCACGACACGGCTGGACTGCACGCAGTAACCGGCTTTTTTTTTTTTTCATCGAGAATTGGCCACTCATGTGCTCGCCGACCAATAAAGATCATTGCTGATCGGAGCTATCTAGCTCGCCCACGTAGACAACGCATTTTGTTTTTTCGATCGCTAAAAGCAAGAACGCCACGAGGAATAATAAATGCCTACTGAAAGCCCACAGCGTCATAACGTGTTTCCCCCCTCAGTAAAACCATGGTTATAAACTGCAAGCTGACAACTGCGAAATATATGTTCTTGCGGATCGGCGCTACACCTCTCCCTGATAAGGTGCACACTTGAATTTATTTTTTTTTTCCCTCCAGCACACACAATCACGAACGCCACGAGGGATAACGCAGTCTTGCCCTCAGGAAAAAAAAAAACAACAAGTAGAACCTTCCTCGTTAATCATCACGATTAGCGCACAAAAACAAAAAGAAAATGCACGACACAAGCGTCTGTTTCGTGCTCTTATGTTTTTTGTGCGATGATCCGTGATGGGTACGTTCCAACTAGCCCAATTCGCTTCTTTACATCCTCGTTTAATTATATAAGCTGACAACTGCGAAATATATGTACTGAGCGTAGCTCATTCAGCCTTCCAGCCTGTTCGCATTAGAGTTTAATAGAGGAGCGTACTGCTCTAGTAGCCGCTCGATTCCACAGGCTAAACAGCACCTCGTCTTCGCAGTCGAAATTCTCGCTAATCGGTGGCGTAGCCAGGGGGGTTAGGGGGATGAAAATCTGCGAAAATTTCCCGTTTTGCTTGCGTTATATAGACGGATACATACCAACGCACACACGAACACAGATAATAGGGAGGTTTAGAATAACGTTAATGACGTTGCGGGCACAACATACGAGATTTAGAATAGCGTTTGCTCCCTCTAGGGAAAAGTCTAGGGGACTTTCGCCCCGACCGCAAACCCAAATGCACGGAAGCTACGCACAGGCATTTTTTCGGGCCTCGCGGGCCGTGATCGCCGCACGCTATTTCGGAATTTCTGCTGGCGGGCCACAAACGCAAACGGCGGCTCGCGTTACTACGCATGCGCCGTGGCAGAGACCGCACCGCAAGGGCTTGCGGTGCGCTATTCTGAACCTCCCTAATGCTTGTATAATTAATGCTCCCCGGGACCTATGTGCATTAGCTGATACAAATTGTAGGGTTCGATCGTACACTACTATCGCGTGTCTCCAGCATGCACAAGGATGGCATTGCCAAGTATGCAGCTTGGAGCGAAAATTAATGCAGCTACAGCACATTTGAGATAGGATAGCTAGATACCACAAGTTATACCGGCAACGAAGTAGATGAGTATCATGTGTATACGTGGTCATCGCATTTACATTTCCGATGGCGTACGTCCATACGCGCACCCATGTAGGAGAGGGAAAAAAAAACGAGGCAGGTATTTTTCGTGCGCGCGGTGAACACCATCAAAATAAACCGCTGAGTACCAACCAACACATTCAAACTTCCACTATCTGTGTTCAGTGTTGACTGATATGTGGGATTTAACGTTCCAAAACCACCATATGATTATAAGAGACACCGTAGTGGAGGTCTCCGGAAATTGCGACCCCCTGGGGTTCTTTAACGTGCGCCCAAATCTGAGCACACGGGCCTACAGCATTTTCGCCTCCATCTAAAATGCAGGCGCCACAGCCGGGATTCGATCCCGCGACCTGCGGGTCAGCAACCGAGTGTTCCTTAGCCACTAGACCACCCCGGCGGGGCGAGTGTTCAGTGTTGTAGCGTCTTTCATGTAATGTGTTCTTCAACCACTGCTACTTCAACCTCTGGAAAGCCGCCTGGCCGGGTATTGAAACTTAATATGAAGACTGCTAACGCTGCATACCCTGCCTCACGACGAAAGGTAAGCACCTACGGTTACCGAGTACAATGTGTGATTCATAACACATTCAGCAGAAAGAAAACTGAATCGATGATAGATTGCAATGCGATATCGGTGACCGCCCATAAGTTGATTGACACTTAATTGCCGCGCAATCGGTGTCTGCAATGTTCTTACGTCCCCTCCAAGGCATTTGTGTAGTGACTGACGTCAGCGTCACGTAACGGCGCCACCGGCCGTTAATTTCACGGGCGAGCGTTCCAGTGCTGCGCAATCACGTAATACGTACATGCACGAGCAAGGTCGAACCCTCGCCGATGCGGTCGTGTGTCTACGCCGACAACTAACCGAAGTTGCGCGCGAACACGCATAGTTTCGTCTGTGTGCGATACAGTTCTGTGTCAACGCGTTTTTACATAAGCTCGCGCAATTGCTTTCTAAAGCATCACGCAGTTGCTTTAGAAACTTTAGAAAACGGCGGTATCGAAATCCAGTAGCCCCTTGCATTTCTTCCATATTCGCGCCATTTCAACAGTCTCGGCAATCATATACAGCGCTTCTTGATCTATACGGCAATTCTTTTCGCGAAACGCAGCAGCGTTGTTAT